AAAAAAAATTAACTTAAATGATTTTAGCAAATGGCTGCAATATAACAAAGAGTGAAAAATTTAAGGGGGTCTGAATACTTTCCGTACCCACTGTATGTTAATGAGATAGTATGGTATGTCATGTATTTAAATACATTTGTAATTACACATTTGAAAAGGTGAAGTTGCAGTTAGTACATATAAAAATATACTAATTTTAAATGTAATATTGACAGTTATATATATCATGTACATATATAATCAAGTACTTTACATGAGCTTTACTATGTTAGTTAACACATCAAAATAAGCGTTCCCTTTCATGGGAACTTCGAACTGCGTCCTCTAGGGGTCGCTATGGGGAAGCCTCGTCGTGACCCGTGTCTGAAGCATACATTGAAAAAACACCAACTCGTTGGCCGGCGACAGCCATGACGTCACTACCGGTGCGACTATAGTATAAATAGGCGCCGGGAGCTACACATCATTCTCTTCTTCGTCTTCATTGACTGTTTTGTTTGAAGCGTGCATTTCTGTGGTAAGAGCGATCTCTATTTATCTTATTATGGCGAGCACTAGCAAAGCATTTAAGGATGTGTGCATCCATGTTGACGTTGTTTAACATCTGATGACACACACAATCTATGCATTATTTGTTTGGGCGAAGAGCACACACGCAATGTCTACGAGGGGGCAATCGGCATGCACTGCGAGCGTTTTTTCCAAGGGAAAAAAAAATAAAATAAAAAATAGCTCCGCTCTCGGTTGTCTCTTTTCGAGGAAAGAGGGGCAAGCCATCTGCTTCCCGTGATCCAGGACCCGCCGCTGCTGAATCACGGAAGGGAATGAGCTCGTGGGTATCGCAGGTGGATCTGGCCGATGAGTTTGAAGGGGGGTTTCCCTTTCGTGATCATCGGCTGTGCACGAGAGTGAGCCGCTGGAGGATGATGTTATTTCATTAACATTGTCTGATTCAGGGGCCATTGCTCTGCTGGGATCAGCCCAGCAAAAGCAGGAAATAGCTGAGGAGGGCAAAGAAGCTGAGGCTGAGCCTTCCCAAT